TTTTGTCCTCGGTTCTCCCACCCTGCAATTACAGCAGCCACAGGCTGCTGGGACAACTGGTAAGACTGGTGGGATGCTACCACTGTGCCGTGACAAGGAGGCCGCTGGACCACCACCAGAGCTGCAGCACGTGCACTAGCAGCCAGTGGCAGTGCCAAATGGGAGCACATGGTCCCTCACTACAGAAGGCTGCTCTAGGCACCTCCTGGTGAGCTCAAGAAATAAAAATGCCCTTTTCTTCATTTACAGATCTAATGACTGTCTTCAGGCCAGCTCAAATGGGACAGTTTCTTTTGGGTCACACAGGCCTGCAGCAGAGACCTCCTCCTCTGCGTGCAGCTGGCCTTCCTGCTGGCCACGGGGAGGCAGATAACATCCCAATTCCTCTCACCCTTTCGTTATCCTCTCTGACAGCTAAAAATCCAGAGGGCATGCCAGGATAAAGCAAAGTCTGCAGCTTCCAGCCACACAGGGACTTGCTCTGGCACGAACAGGCAACAGAGGAGAAAAGCTGCTTACAGTCCTTCTGTATCTAGGCAAGAGCCAGCATGCTTGTGCTCTTTCGGGTCCCTGCTGCATAGTTTGGTGCTGGTTTGAAGAACCTAATAAAAAGCATCACCACAAATTATCTTATAAAGCACCTGGAGAGACGAGGATGTCCCAGGGACAGTTTACTTCACACCTCCTTTCACAAATCTGTCAGGGTACCTAGGAGGTCCCATCCACATTTCACTGCCTCCAGAGCATTTCAATAGAAAATGCGCAAATAGTAATTAAATGATCACTGGGGTATTTCTTCTTTGACTTGAGCAATTTGTTTGGATTCTCTGATTTTGCTACCTGTCCTATTGTAAGCTTATTCATGCAAAACAAAGGAAACACATATTGGCTTGCTTTCCTTAGTGCCAAACAAATTAATAAATGTCATACTCTAAGGTGCAAAGCCTACTTCAAATATGAAGTGATCCCAGTAGAAATCTTGGAAATGTTTTTCAAAAATAAGTGTTTAACCCACAGCAGTAAACAAGCATAATTACAAAAGCAGTTTTGTAGAGTACTGTAATCTGTTAAGGTTCTTCATAGTTTTAGGAAGCGAAATATCACATCTAAATGATAGTGTACATGTGCTTTGCCCTGTAGACAATATATACCAGAGGTGTTCTGCATTAATTTCTCCCTTGTAATATATGCCAACACATAGAGCACAACTGTTCCAGTTTTTGCTTCACAGCCTCCAGGTGCAGCCCTGTCACATCTCTTGAGAAGAGTGGGGCAGAAGCAGTCTTTGGATAGAGGAAGTTAGGGGCGGGGAGGTGGGGAGAGAGAGATTGCAGTTGTGGACTTAGTGTTTCAGTACTGGCTGGTTCTCTTTTGCCCGGAGCCAGGATTTAACCTGAGGCTTTAGTGAGTATAGTCTGGTGAAGCAGGGACAATCTTAGCTCAGGCACTGCACTAAAAAATTCAGATGATTCTACCACATGTTCTTTAAGTGCTTATAGAGAAAAGTAGAATGCTCTAAAGATACAGGGAACTCTTTGAGAACTGTAATTAAAAAAAAAAAAATTGTACGTAACATCGTTTCTACAATGGACTTCACTACCAAGCATGGATCCTCAAATCTGGATAAAACCCTAAATATGAAATAAACAGTATACCCATCATTAAGAGGAGCTGGGAATTATACACAATGGACTATAACTGCTGCCACTGCTAATCTTTAATTAAAGATTTTCTAGC